GCGAGGCGAAGATAATCGCGCGGAAATCAAATGTTTGTTCTGACTACCGGTTTATTGTCGCTTAGCGTCTCGCGTACACCGAAATTTACGATCGACGACGAGACCAAGGATTCGATTCGTACCAATTTCACCCACAAACGCATATCTTAAACAATAAAGTCACCCCATTATCTTTTATCTTTTTAACTTTTATCTTTTCGACGAAATGGCAACATTCATTGAACAAAGTTTAGAGGTGAAGCTTAGTTTACGTGATCGTTTGGTTAAAAAAAGTAATAACTATGCAAATTCACATTTTTATTAATAGAATCAATGAAATCAGAGCTTTATAGAACTCTGTCTCAAACCCTAAATATAACAATTCGTATCTTACTTTAAGTATCTCTTATATTTTTGCATATTAAATGCATAAACATTCGCAGTCTAGTAATAACACTCCGTGCATCGATAAAAAATGAGTTTTGAGGTCACGATTAGGTCGAAGAAAGAAGAGAAAGAGAAATGCTACGCGACTGGTTGCTCAAGTTGTGCAATAGCTTTCAATGAAAACAACGATATGCAGATGTGTTTTTGTTTATCATAATAATCTGATAAGACGTTGAATAACCTTTCGATTCGATGAGTTCTCAATGCAAGTACGAAATAAACATAAGCATATGCTTTCGGAGGCAACTAAATTAAGTTGGATAAGTTGGAGACAAAATTCTTAACCAACCCTCCAGATTTTCGATCTTTAACGCGTTAACGTCAGCGACTAACTCGAACGAACGTTTTCTAGATGGCTTGCTTCACCACCCCCTCAAGAATACCATATTTTCACTATGATTCTCCATCCAAACATCGTGAAACTTGCAACTGTTCCTCCTAATCCAAGTTAAAAAGGGTATTTTTTAACATTTCTCGATACTTTGTTTAAAAATTTATAGATCTGGACAGCTTGGTACTCCAGAGCAGTGTTTCTCAACGTGGATAATTTTTATTATTTCAAAGGGGGGAGGGGAGAGATTAGAAAATTCCCAAACGTTTATAGTTCCTCAGAACTTGGTTGCTTTTACTATATTTATTTTTTAAAAAAAGTTGAGAACCACTGCTTTGGGGTCCAACGCGTTCAGAGTTCTTGGCCAGCTCCATAGAATACTCGGAAACAATCATTTGGGTGATAATTGTCGAGTATTCGTGGAAACCTCGAAACATGTTCACCGACCGGAATCTACGATTTTCGCCGAGAAAAGCGTAGTTTGGCTAATTACCTTCTTCTGTAAACAGCAACTCCGACTCGTTCACGACTGTACTTGTATTTTCTCGCAGACACAGACGAAGAACACACACTTCGATTCCTCGAACATATCACGTCATCGAACTTTGCGTAATCCGTCTCTCGATCCTCTTTTATTTTCCACTTTTTACGTTTTACGCGACGAAAGGTTCTTAGTAATCGACAGTTATCCGGGTAGCGGTTAACAGGTTCGATCGTTTGTTTTGTTGTTTAAGGTATGGTTTAGTGGAACTTGGACACTGGTTTTCGAGACTCCTCGACCCGGAGAATCCGTTTTGTTTTCACCCCTCAAGGTGCGGACATAGCACCGTGTGCGCCTTGGCCGGTCACCAGGCCTGCAATGAACATATGATTCGCACGGAGGAACCGATGCCCCGAACACCAGCCGTATCATTGGCTATACATAGCACCCGCCGCAACGCGCAGACGCCGGTCATCGCTACCCTTTTTCCTATAGTCTGATAAACAATTTCTACCCTGTTCGCTAATTTTGGCCGCGAAAGAATTACGACAATCGCGGGACCACTCACCCTCGATAAATCGGAATACTCCTTTTCGCTAGTACCTTCGATCTATATCGATCCGCCATTTTCATGTACATATTCCTTCTTATCGAACACCATTTTACTAATCGACTCCACGAGGGAATCTTCGTTTTTTCATTTGGACTTTTGTTATTAGGGAACAGAGAAGGGTTGCGGCGCCATTTTGTCTTTGAGACCAGAAATTTCGAGATAAAGGTACACTGACGAGGATCGTTTGATCTATTGATAATTTTCAATATGGAAAGATTTCAGATTTGAGAAAAATTGTAAGAATTATCGTTAGTTTTTCAAAAAATTTCAAATTTGAACAAGCAAAATTGTAAGAATTATCGTAGATTTTTCAAAAAATTTCAAATTTGAGCAAGCAAAATTGTAAGAATTGTCGTCAGTTTTTCAAAAAATTTCAGATTTGAGTGTTCCAAAAGACACTTCCGGGGTGGGTGATACACCCTAAATATGGTTAGTTCGCCAGAGTCAAGTGCAACGTGAACTCTATGTGTGTAATTCCCCGGTGCCAATGACCAAGATAAGTGGAAGACGACCGGTTAATGGAAATAGAACTCTCAGCGTTGGCTTCTGACTGACCTGCCTAATATTTTTCAAACGACAGCGGGCACGAGGTACGAGCGCGATGTCGCCACGGATTCCGGCGACGGAGCGATGAGTCGGCGGATTAGAATGATCGATTGTTGCGCCAAAAACGGCGCAAGAATTTGCGTTGAATCGGTTCCCGGGGCTCGCTGGCCTTCGATCCACACGCTAATGCACGATTAGAGTCAATGCACCTCCGTCGATGAAACGTGCAACGTCGTGATTCGAGAAACGAATAAAATAAACGATAACCACAGCGTCCAGCTCGAGTCTGAGGACACGTGTTCTTTGAAATAAAACATCTCGAAGGCTCGAGACCATTTCAAAGGTGTCGGTCTAATTTCAAAAGTGTTGGTCGTCTTTGATGAAGTCGCGGCGACATTAAAGGTATTCGCAGAATCCTACAGACGATCGAGAAAGTACAGGAAAAGATTGGTATCGAGTTTTCGGACCTGGAAACAACGGTGGAAGAAGTGCTGAACTTCGAATACTGTGCCAGAGTCATTTGTGACTCATCTAACATTTCTCCAATACAGATATATGTTCCTTGCTTGAAACTCGCTGGCGAGTCAACAGTGACTCCGGCACAGTACTCGAAGGGTTAAGAGAGCATATATATACGTCTAAAATGGCGGACCCAGGAGGGGGTACAAGGAGACAGTTGCTTGACTGACCATTGTAACCGATGAAATTTTTTTACCATTCCAAACAAAGGATATTTTTATTTTCATCGATGGTATCATAAAGATCGTTGATAGAAACTTAGGCGAACTGAACTCGAAGAATAAATTTTCTCTTCGTTGTTTTTTTTCTTCTGGTATTTAAAGCAACCCCGGCTGATACCGGATACGCGTGGCGAAGATGTGAAACACGTATTGATTCAAGGACACGCAGGCGTAGAACCTAACGAAACTGGGTCAAGTTAGAAGATCCCAGGTTTAGAAGTTGTTCAGGGTCGATGGCGGAAACGATGGGGCAGAAATGGGTCACCGGAGCGCTGGGGTTTCCGAAACCTCGAATACGATGTTTTACAGCTGGGGTTCAATTTTATGGCGATTTAATTCCCTTAATTTCTCGCTTCTTTAATCACTTTCGCCAAAGAAACGTTAACTGACATTAAACAGTGCCGCTAGTGGACGTTTTACACTTCGAAGTTGAACGTTCCACTGTGGGAGGTAGTCGATGATCGAATTAGGTTCGTTGCAAGACTTAACAAATTGGTCCAGAAACCTGTAATCAACTTATCCGAGCATAAAAACGAACATCGAAATAAACATTCGTTAGCTAGCACAGATAATCATTTGTCTTCTTATTTTTTGGATACGAATTAGAAAATAAAAAAAAATCGCCCAACGTGGGGCTCGAACCCACGACCCTGAGATTAAGAGTCTCATGCTCTACCGACTGAGCTAGCCGGGCGTTGGGAAATCCTTACAGAAACATTACTTTTAACTACCTACAGTATACTAATTTCACTCGTAAGTAGGTTTGCACATATTTACGTCATAAATAGACAAATGAGAATCTATCAAACTCCCTGAAAATATAATTGCACAGATTGTTCCTTTGGCTAGGTCTAAATCACGTTCAACTTTAACGTTGAGATAAACATAATTGTTAAGAGTTCTGTGTGTTTTCATATAGAAACTTGTTGAAATGCCTTTGTGTATTTATAATTTGCATACATCATCGTCAAATCGTCTATTTAATTACTCCGATTACTTTTAGCATTCATGAATTATAAAAGTAATCAATTAGCGTGCAACTGTTCGTCTTACGCTGTTTGAACAAGTGTAAGTACGATGGTGTTAAATCCCTTGTAATTTTCAATTGATGGAATTCTGATTGGTGGTGGTTATCCGACCAATCAGAACGAAGAACGCACCGAGAGACGGTTGTGCATTTCCGTTGGCGACTCGATGTTACTAGATGGCAGGCCGTTGCCCAGATAAGACTGCCCCTCCACTTTCGTGCATCAATGTGTACGTGAGCTCCTGCATTTTGTGCAGCTTCGGGAATTCGAGAGAGAAGGGCGAAAATGAGCCTCTTCTTCTCGCTTTCGGAACAGCTGTAATCTAATTTGCGTCGACCGGCATAGAATTTGGACGACAAATCGATGGGGAAATTGATCCTCAACTAACGTACTATGCGATGAAAAAACCAGTGTTCGATCGAACAACTGAAATTAGTAAAGTCAGCGAACACAGCAAAAATTTTAACTATTTTAAATACGTAGCCCACAGCTCGTTATTACCCACGAAAAAGAACTTTTCATCGTGGGTAACATGAATACACAGAATCCAAGTCCCATCGATCTGTCTCTCGCCCTCATCTGTTACCAAACTTGAGAGATAAAAGGAATTCGATAGTTCTTCCGGGAAATAAAATGGTGGTCGACGCAAATCGAATTTCAACTGATTCGAGAGCAAAAAGGAAACGTGTTCTTCGTCCGATCCCCGAAACCGTCCGAAGTGCATCAGCTCACGCACAGGTGGCCGTGCATCGGTGCGCGTGAGTGGTGGGGGGCCTGTTCAATCCGTGACCGGTGTGCCGTCTGGTAACATTGGCTGTAAGTGTAGCCTGTAACAAGGAAAATCGTTTAGTGCGGTGAACGTTTGAATTTGGAAGTTAACACGTGTTTGTGCGTAGATTTTGAAGTTTATTTTTTTATTGTTATACATACGTACATATAAATATTTATTGTTTGATGTGTGGTTTGAGCGTTAACTAAAATGCCACGCTCTGCGAAAGATTCAGATGAGGAGCAAGACGTGAAAGGTGGTTTGTATTTTTCATTTTTTGGGTTGTGTGCGCACGCGGTCGGCCGACGGCTTGTAACGGTCGATTCGGCATCGATTATCATAGTTTCATCCGCTTCAGAACGTGTATCATTGCTCGAATTCATCTTTTAAACTTGCGCAAAGTAAACAAGTGCGCATTTTACGAAACTCAAACGAATATATCGCCGCTTTTACCGAGCAATTTATATCGTGTGTTCAGGTCGCAAGGCTCGTGGTCTCGCCGGGTCGGTGTCTGTTGACTCCCCGTTGCGTCGTAGTTCTCGAGTTAAAACAGCTGTTAAGCATTTTGAATCTTCACCGGAATCGCCAGTAAGCGATGCCAATAACGTCAGTAATACGCAAATAACGAGAATTACTAGGCGAAGAACGAGCACCATGGATAATACAATGGCAACCGAGAAGAGCAGAACCTTGCGTTCCAGGAAAAATTCTGCAACGTCAGATGTGAGCGAAACTGCAGAAGCAGACGTTACGGTCACACCGACTAAAAAGACTAGAAGTATCGCTGCGAACGAAATGTTTAACAAGTCTAACAGTCGTTCCAGGTATTGGGAATGTCGTTACGTTTAATATTGTAAATTAGTTTTTACGATGTATTAAATGTTTTATATTCACTTTCATGGCGTTCAGTAAGAGATTAGTAAGAGCTGGTTCGGAATCAAAGTCACCGACGACGTTAACACCGGTGAGAAATACACGTAGAACGAGAGCCAGTTCTATGGAACCAGATATTGTTTTAGAAACGAAGAAAGCTGAATTGCATACGCCCATTAAAACAAAAAGAAGAACATCCATAGCACCGTCGGAAGCAACTGTTGCGGAGGAAAACGAAGAAACTGTAAGAAAATCGACGGAGACGGTCGAGCGTACATTACCTAACGTGAAGGAACTTAACGAAACACGTATGATACTCTTTCGAATATTGTTTTTTTATTTTAAGAAAAATTAATTCGCGAAAAATAAGTTTATATTGATTTTGTTGTATATTTCAGCCGTTATAAATAGTAGCTCGAAACAGATAAATAAATTATTAGTACTTTCGATAGAAAAGATGGATACGAAACGTGAAAACATAGTTGAGAATACAACAGAAAAAGATGCACCTGGTAAGTTTAATTGTTCGTGTCTTTTTTATTGTATTATGTTTTGTTAATAATAATTAACCAGCTTCGGGAATTTTTTTAATCAAAAATTGCTGCTAGTAGGAAATGAATTGTAACTAACTAGTATTCGCATTTATAACAGTTGAGGAGGCACAGAACATCTCTGCAAAGAATCTTTTATCGGATACCTCTGAAGATGCTGAAACGGATGTATTTGTTGATGATAAAAAAGAAACAACAAACGATGATAAAACCGTTTCGAAACAAGGTGAAAACGATTCTACGGATAGCGTAGAAAAAGAGGATTCGTTGGTTAACGTGTCCGAGGTGCACTCGCAAAGCACCAACCCTGACGCGTCTAAGGAATTAGGGTTGAAAGTCGAAAATTTATTGAGTAATTCGTTGAAAGAACAGGACGAAGATCTTAGCAATAAAGAAAATCAAGCAGCGAACATTATTAATGAATCGCTGAATAAAGACGATATAATTTCCAACGTGTTATTGCAAAGTCCAAAACCGTTGTCCGCGAGTAACATAAACGCCAATAAGATAATCAAAGAGAAATGCAAGTCTCCTAGTATCGATTCTACAACGCATCGCCATTCAAAGGAATCGTCAGAAGCAACGATCGATACAGTCGTTCCTGCGAAAGAAATTACCGATAATAGTAATGCAGCCAACACTTTAACAGACACGAATGAGTCGATTATAGTAATAAAAGAAGAGGACGCAGACAGTAACGATAATATGCCAAAATTGGCACTAAATACCGACACCGAATCATTAAGCATGGTTGCTCCCGATGAACCTGTAACCAAACAGCTTGCGGTCGTAGAAGTCTGCGATGATTCAAGCTTCGATGATAGCATTCAGATTCTAGAGTGCGTTGAAAGTGACAAACCGGGCGATGAGCCTACTGAAGCAGTGAGTAAATCTAAAGATCCAACAAAAGAAGATAACGAATCTCATGAGGACACTAACGTCAAGATGGATGTTTCAAGTTCATGCATAGAAGAAACTTCAAAAACGAACACGAACACGGAATCTACAGAAGACAGTGCAAGTCCAGTTAAAGCTACAGATGATAAAAGTGAAACGATAAAAGAAACTGATAAGTCAGTTAAATCAATCGTTTCAGAAGACAAATGTAAGATGGACACTGAAAAAAGTAGTCAAGATGTAGAACATGTAACAAAAGATTCAGAAGATGCAGAAACTGTGGATGCAGCTAAGGATACGGAAAAAGCAAAAAGTGCAGACAATGTTATGGAGACGGAGGAACTACATTCTACAGAGACTGTTTCACATTCTGACCCAAGCAATGCGACACTGTCAGCATCGTTAGACTCGAATATAGTTGAAAATACTCAGTCTTTAGTCGATTCGAAGGATGAGAGTGCTACAAACAATTTGGAGAATATGGAAGAAGCAAAAGAATCGAAAGAATCTTCAGAGTCTCATACAAGTCCAGAAGATTCTGTGCCTGCCAATAAAGATAAAGATAATGTAACGAATGTGGTTAAAAGTAGTCAATCTTCCACTGTTACAGAGACACCGGCTGAGTCTAGCGAAGAAGTGGCTGAGAAAGAAGAACTATCACAGAAAACTTCTGCATTGGATGATTCTGCAACTCCTAAAAAGCAGCCCGAACCTAAATCAGAGTCAAGTAACGAGCAAAAGAAGACTGAAGTGAATCTAGAGACGTCTAAGAAGAATCCAGAGAGTATGGAAGTCGACGATAATGATTCAGATACAAATACGATAAATTTATTTCAAGACGTTATAGCCGACGAATGGAAGGAAAAGAGCGACGACGTTGATAAGAGTTCGGTGCATTCGATGTCCACAGAAAGGCTGGACAACGAGAGCGAAACGGAATGTGATCTTATTTTAGTTGACAGAGAAGCGTGGTTAGCTGCTGAGAACATAAAAATGGAAAAGGAGAAAGAAGTGTTCGATTACGATTCCGATGATACTGTGTTATTAAAAGCGCGGAAAGATTCCTCAAAAACTGAGCAAGATGAGAAAACGACGAATGTGTCGAAAGACGGGGGTAAAAAAATGAATCTCAGAAGAAGCAAAACCTCAAACACAGATAGTACGCGTAAATCTGTGCAGCAAGAGGAAATTGAAGATACAGAACATGTATCAGATAGCGCGAACAAGAAAAAATCTGTGACAAAAGAAACTAAGGAAAGTACTTCGACACGAAAGTCGATCGAAGGGAGAAATATATCCGAGCCACAGGAAATTGAAGAAATGGAGGAAGATTTAAATAAGTCGCATTCTGATTCGCCGTTAAACAAGAGTAAGTCGGCTGGGGATATTTCAAAAAAACGAAAATCACTGAATAGATCGAATCAAAAAGTGGACAATGACCGTGAAAAATCTAGCGAGACCGGAAGTGCGAAAAAGAAGAAATCGTTGAACAAGTCCAAGCCCATGGTAAGTGAAATAATAGACAGTGATTCGAAAAGCGAAGATATATGTACGACTGTTAAGAGTAAGGGTGAGAAAGGGCAGTCTTCGAAGAAGAAAATAAAGCCAAGGCAGATAGACGTGAACGTGTCGGAGGAATCTGACGATAATTCTAAACAATCGGAGATTACTTCCAAGAAGATCAGTGCTGCGAAGAAAAAGACTAATGAAAAATTGTCGCAATCCGACCGTGATGATTCCGAATCCGAATCCGATAAAAATAATTCCGATTCAGACGACTCTCAAAACGAAGGCGTAAGATTACCTAAATTCCTGTTTGATGGTGGAAGCGGTAGCGATGATGATAATGAATCCAATCGAAGTATAGACTCTGATATCGAAAGAGAATACAACCTTAACGGTGAAGACATCTGTAAGTTTTCTGATGACGATGTACCTGGAGATGAGTGCAGAGCATCAGAAACTGAATCGTCAGACCCAGACGATGATGGATCAGATCTCATAGATTTTGTAGTTGACGACGATGAAGTTGAGGATGACGAAGAAGAAGAGGAAGGAGAAGGAGAGGCTGGAGGTGATGAAAACGAAGAAGAAATGGATAACGAGGAAGAAGACGAAGAAGTACCGGAAGACAATGAAAAGATGCAGGTGGAGCAAGAAACAGATGAAGTTGAAGAAGCAGTAACCGAAGAAGAAGATCAAAGTAAAAATAAGCAAGAAATCGTTGACGAAAAGGAAGCTTTCAACAAAGAAAAAACTAAATTAAGGAAGTCTCTCGATACAAGTTCTTCCAGAAAGATGGAGAAAAATAGATCTCAGACAGAAATAAATGAAGAACATGACTCCTCTAATTTGTCTCTTTCAAATTCTTTTAAAACGAAAAAGGCCAAACAAAAGTGTGCCTCGAATGAGGTCACAGACGATAAGGAGCATTCGCTGAACGACTCTCAGTTGGTGTTTACTAAAAATGTCCATAAACTTAGTAAATCGATGGAGTACAGCACACCTAAACGTAGTTCGTTGAAACGAGACAAATTTAATGTTAGTTTAGGGGTCACTTCTGTGGAATCGACCAACGAAATATCTGAAACCGAAGAAGATATTTGTTCCAACGTGGGAGACGTTGAAAATGAAACACCAGCGATGGAAAAGAAATTAGAAAGAAATAAGAACAAGGAAAATTTAATGCGTAGAAGTTTTCCATCTGTGTTAATCGAGTCGGAAGAGAAAACGAATCTTTCGAGACCACTGTCTTCCAAAGTGACGGAATTAAATAAATCTGTACCTACTACGTCTAATGTCTCGCCTACTACCAAGTATTTGAATAAAGATAAGTTTAACGAAAGTGCACCGGAATTGAAATCCAGCAATAAGTTTAGAAAGTCAGCGAGTGGCAGTATAAATAACGAACAGAATAGGACATCAGGTTCGTTCAGGGAAACGAATGTGAATGTTGAGAAACCAAATGTAGAAATCGCTCAGGGAGTAGACGACTCGTTAAAGAAGAAACTGCTTAAAGTAGCTGACAATATATTAGAAACTGATCGTCAGAAGAAACGGAAGAAACGAAAACAGCCAACTGTAGCAAAGACTGATTTTACCTTATTTGACGAGAACAATTCCACGAACACTACTGAAAAGAATCAGATACGCATTGTGTCTGTTACTAGTCTTGGCGAGAACAATGAAATGGAGATACATTCCATTGAAAAAATGAAGAAACAGAAGAAAAAGACTATGCCTGTCACCGTTGAAGAATCTTTGAAAGATCTTTACGAAGAGTTCGCTGAAGCAACACCAGAAGACAACGATAGACCAGTATATAACGAAGGGAAGAAGAAAAAGAAGCGACAGAAGATTATAGCAGGTACAAATACAGAGGTTGAAGTATGCACAAAGAAGACGGGTAAAAACAAGATTTCTACGTCAACCGAAGAACTTCCGGTGAAGAAATTAACTAACAAAAAGCAGAAATTGTTAAAAAATATTGCCGCGGAAGATGAGAAAGTTGCAGTCGAAAGATTACCCAAGAAAAAGCAAAAGTTATTGAAAAGTCTTTCTTCGGAGAGTGAACAATTGCCTAAGAAGAAACAGAAAGTATTAAAAGGTTTTGCTTCGGAAGGTGAGGAAGCTTTGATTGAAAATACGCCCAAGAAGAAACAGAAGTTATTGAGAGATGTTAACTTAGAGGATAAAAAAGTATTACTTGAAAAATTACCCAAGAAAAAGAAGGTATTAGGTGATGTTGTGTCGCAAGATGTACAAATTTCATCTGAGAAAGTGTCGAAGAAAAAGCAGAAGTTATCAAAAGACGCACAAAGTGAGGAGGCCTCGCTTGAGAAACTGCCTAAGAAGAAGCAAAAATTGCACCGATATATTGATGCGATGTTAGATTTAGACGAAGAGTCGGAGATAGTTGCATTTTCTAAAGCTAAAACTAAGAAGGAATTGAAAACGAGGTCGCGGGGGGAATATATGCAGCAAGAAAGTCAGATATCGAAGAAAGGTGTTAAACGTCTCTCTGACGAGTTTCTTGAAAATCTTCCAGACGTCCCGTCATCAAGAGCGAAGAAGAGGAAATTGTCGAAGTTTGAAGATCAAGTATTGCCATCGCGTTCCATGTTTGACGCAAAAATTAACGATAGTATAACTGTAGATGCGGAAGATTTCATTCCATTAAGTTCCTTCGGAGGTACCACTAAGTTCAATGTCATCAATATTCAGAAACTGAAGAAAAAGAAAAAGCTGCCAGAAATAGTTTCGTTCAGGCAAAAAATGCTTGCTAGAAATTCTCGACAGCCAGTCTCGGCTTATTTGGTGTATCTGCAGAAGCAAAAGGCGTCGAGTAAAAAATAAGTTTTGTAACAATTCCATACTAAGCATTTAATTTATCTTCTATGTAACGTTGATCTGCAAGCATCGTAGAGTATCATTTCGAGTGTAAGACTCGGGTGTAACGGTAATAATTGCTATCCTCTTTTTTATATTTTATAGAGATTAGACGGTATTACGTATTGGTTATTGTAATCTAGTGTAAAGTAATGTACATTTTTTACTATAAATTGTTAACGCATTTCAGTAAACCGATGCCAAATTATTAATGGATATTAATCGAATGGTTCTATTACGATAACTTCACTGTTCTACAATAAACCGAGGTCTGATATGAAAATAAAGCTTCGTAGATGTTTGCAAAATCCCGATGTTACGTCTGTATGAGCGTTTTGTGAATATCTCGTGCTGTAATGGAAATATATCATTTTTATGAAAATAATTGGTAATATAATTTACAGTACTTAAAAACTGAAAATGTTTATTTAATGTTAATTTTTGCGAATTTAGGTTCTTTGTATAACAGAATATATACGCAACTTGTAGACAGTTTTATTAAATTAAAATTACACATAGAAAAAAGATTTTATTAATAATACAATGTTTGTACATTTCTAGCAAATAATTGTCGAAATGGGTATATTAGTATTTTGCTCTGTAATGGATACTAATATTATTAGACATATAATTCTTTAATGATTTCCTCTAAAGTACAATATACAAATAATAGATTCTTCCGTTTTATGCTCGTATTACGCAATTCTCAGGTACTTCTCTTTTTAAGTTCATAAAACAGGCACCGCTTCCTGTGTTGTTCTCCCCCGTGAATATTACGCAGGCTAAACCGTTGATCGCCATATGCTGCCACAGTTTACGTATCCATTTGTTCACCGCGTGAAACGTTTTCTCGATTTCGTCGGGTTTTAATTTCTCTTCTTGCAATCGAATGTGGCATAAAGTAAACGCGTGCTCCATTGCTATTTGAGAAGCTCGATTCACGGCCTGTTTATCATTGTCTGCAACTACGAGTCGCACCTGAAACAAAAGCACAATTTTGGTCAAATAAAAACGGGAATTATCATCGAGTCAAGTTTATAATTTAAATGCATACTTGATCATTTTTATCGAAATTCTCATCATCCATAACATTGATTGAAGCAGTCAAATATTTCGAATATTCGTTCATAATTTTTTCGTTGCCCACAACTGCTGCTGTTTTCTGATCTTTCGTTACGTATTTGAAGAGCGAAGTAGCATACTTTTTTCTTTCCATTTTTAACGCCTGCTTATATTCCTTTCGTTTCTCTTCCATTTTTAACACTTTATTGTACCGATGAAGTAACACGGCATCCCCGTAAGCCACACTATTTGCTAATTTTAATTGCGCTAATTTCATAGAGGCTATCGAATCCTCGGTCGAACAATGCCCACTTTTGCTTTCCTGTATCCTCTCGCCGAGAAACTCTCTGACCAAAGTTTGTAACTTTGTTTTTCTGGACCTGGTTGCACACAACGATCCGTATAATTTTGTCGGAAAAAATAAATTTCTTTAATAGCAAATTATTACCTATCACCAGTAATATTAAAAATTACTGCTGTATCGATAATATATGGATGCATCATTTTTAAGCTGTGAAGATCAAAGTTCAAGCTTTGTCCCACTAGAATGGCATCTGCGGGAAGCAACTTCCGTAAAACTTGTTGGACGTCGGCCAATGTAGTTGTCACGTCATCCAATATTTCTTTCGTTATGCCGCTGAATCGAGTGAGATAATCGATAATAGTATTTTCCGGTTTTACCAGACTTTCGTAAATAATCTGTGATAACAATTTCGTAGAATCTGTCTTTCCCACGTTAGAGTAATATTAATTGTAAACTTACGTTCAGCATTTCGTCGACAACGGATATTCTAGTCAGCTCCAATTCTCCGGTCGTTGTTTTACACATTTCGCAATCTAAACCAAACATTGGTGATTTTGCCGTAGCTTCCACATACTCGTCCTTCGTCATTACATAATTTTCGTATCTAAATACCAAAATATATATTATTATAATACAAATACACTTAAGAATACATTCGTCTTTGATACTGACTTTTTCGCTAAATCGCCCTTTAGTGGTATCGGATAATTTTCTTCTATCAGTTGGCATAAAGACAAAAGTAATTGTGTTCGCGAAAATTGATCATTGTTAGGTAGTTCAGATGTTTTTTTAACAGACTCGGTATTATTTGAATTATAGTACTGCATCGGGAAAACAGTTCTTAATAATTTTATTACGTCACCTGTATTTTGTAGAGCAGCTTCTAATGATCCATACTCTGAAAAAAAAAATGTTTGTATATAGTTTTATATCCGTTGGAATAGCAATGGCAGATCCATTATCTTGCAACGTATATACTTTTAATTAATCTATCGCTTTGTATCCCAGTTATGGGAACAGCTGCAAGATCTTCCACTACTGATCCTCCGTATGCCGTAGGTGTGACAACTTCCAAACGGAATTCCAATTTCGATGTTATGTGTGGAAACATACTTTCGTAAGCCATAAAATGATAGAGAGAAAGCCCTTCGACGACAAGGACCACAGTGTGGGTGACCTTTTAAAAGATTCATTACGTTTAATGCTACTTTAAGAATGTCTATGTATGTTTTCAACATTTTTATTACCTTACTGTACTTCTCGAGATGGCACCATCTTGACGGCGAATAAGGTGAATCATTACCATGTATCGAGAATAGTAATAAATGCTGTATATCACTGAGGAAAATAGGAATTCTATCCTTCTCTTTACAATTAATACTTAAACTAGCATTTTCACCGACTGCTTTTAATTGAAGCCGAGGAAGTGTTTTAAGCCTCTTTTTACGCTCTTTCAATTCTTGTCTCAATTTCTGATACTCCTCCCCAATCAATCTGTAGTGTGGGAAAATTAGTTGAAACCAGTACGTTCCCTTAGAAATCAATGGATGTGCAATTTTACAAACTTTGGTTTTTTATTAGCTAGTGGATTCGAGTCTTCGGTAATTATCGTATCCTCTTTCTCTACAGATTTTTCCAAGTAATCCTCTTTCAGATCCTCGCTACAAGGTCGCTTACGCTTTGAGACTTCTACCATAGAAATATCGCTACTACTGTCCGTATCATTGTTTTGACGCGTTTCTTCGGACTGTAATAATACTTATGAGATAAAATTCTCTGTAAATGTTTCATTTTTGATAGATTATACTAACAGCTTTTTTCAGAGCGAGTATCTTTGCTTCTCTGTCCTTGTCGTTTAATTTAGTAATTTCCAGAAGCGCTGTCATCTTCTTTTTCTTTTTCTCTATTCTTTGTAATTGCTTTGCCGTTAAATTCTTCATAATATTCTCTTATTTTATTTTGTTTCGACGAAGTTAAAGTTATGCACCTTCGAAGTAAGAAATCAGAATAGTCTGTTGTACGTACTTGACAAACAATTTGTAAAAGTAAATTGTTTATTATCTCCAGACATAAAGCATAAAAAACAAACGATAGATTAATGATATATGCTAAATCAGAATTATCGAATAAACCAAATGTTATGGTTGTGTCATAAAACATATGGATGGAATTAGAGAGATCGCTTATGAGGATAATGTTCGAAATCAATCAATGTGCTCGAATTACCTGAGAATTGCAGAAAATGAAAAAACACTTGTATTATATGTAATGTAAGATAAATATTACACATTTCTATATTTTAATATAGGCATAGGAGTCAGATATAGCCCTTGATAAATAAGTACATTTGGTTATATGGAAATTCGAAGATGATGTTCTTGGATTTCATGTGACAGAAGTTTGCAAGATCTTTCAATTTGATTTTTACTATAAGAAGATATCTATAATCAGTTTTAACGTTTTTCTTTCCATTACTTGGTTACCATCCATTGTTAAATATCAGAAATGCCACTTGATAAATTGTACAGCAAATGTTTTGCTCAAACAGTTATATAAAATGTGTTCATTAAATAGAAAGATTTTTTAATCTTTTTATCAATTTAATTGAAAGCTATCTCGCGCAAAATAATAGACTTATTTATATCGTTCAGATCCATGAAAATTTTATGAGATCAAAATGATAAAAGGGGTTGAAATATACTTTTGTGATATAAATGTAAGAGGATAGGTTTGCAAAAGAATGTTGATTAAAAATAGTAAGAAATATTTTGTTTGCTTAAAATGTGGTAGAAAACGTGAGAAAACGCGTACCATTGTTGACGATGTCGAGGTTATGCTTTCATTGGGTTTCTATGATCACAATTAGAATGTTCACGGTAGAAGTATTTAAAGTAGCAGATATAACATGTTTAAACCGCTTTTGTTTCTTAAATTTCACATAAACATTTCCACTTAAATGTATGTTATTTACAAACAGAGAACACCGAGATGTTTGAGAGCACGTTTTTTTACAATTATGACATTTGTCATCGCTAGAGGCCAGCACATAATTGATATTATCAAACTTACAGAATATTGAATTCTATGTAAACAATAAAACGAGGACATTTTGTTTCAAAAGTTTATATCAAAATAACAGTAAATCGTGGAACAAATTGATTAAATTCTCATAAACGAGATTCAATATTTTTTAATTTTTTATTACGCTATTGTAAATCCATCGAAAAAGACAACAATTTTGATATAAAACATCTTCGTCGTAATAAATTTCTGTAAATACTGTTTTTCTATTTTTACCGTAGTATATTTATTACGTTTCAGGAAAAAAACTAATGAATTTACGTAAAAGCAATTTAAGAGTCACAGGAATGTGGAAGATTCTAATTTATGATTCGATTAATAAAATATTAATGATCAGAAATAATGGTTGAGATTCTGGCACAGATAGTGGTAGAGTAATTTATTATTAAACGGTTTGAAAGATGTTTTGTAGAAATTGTCCGCAACAAATTCTTTTGTACATAATTTATAGCGTTGGGAGGATGTATTCTTAACCTTATTTTCCGTTTGGAATATGTATTCTTAGACGATATGCTTAATTATACGTTTCAAATCATATGTGAGAAGTAGATAGTAACCAGGTTTCCAGAACAGGTGCGTAGGCACCTTCTTTGGTAGAAGTTTATTTTATATTGTGCATTATACATATCATTATACATGTAAAATAGGGCTTAAAAATCTTCGTGAACGAGACAAGACGAGAGTAGTCGACTTTAAGAATATTCAAGTTGGAACAGTTAGAAGTTTATAATAACTAATTGTAAGAGAGGCTTGAAAATTTTTAAATATTTTACGATTTATGTTATTGCCCATTTTAAATGATTTAATCATTTTTTTTTTTTATTTTGATTTAGAATCGAACACGATGTGCCCAGGATGCCCCCGTTTGAGAAAGGTTGAGGGTACGCTACTGGCAGAGAAAGCGACTATCCACGAGCAGTGACACAAGCATCCACTTTACGATACATTATATACACGGAGAAGATCAAAAGATTCTAAAGCGGGTACGATTATGCGCTTTATGCATCGGTGTACATTCCCCACCCGCGCGGTGAAAACATATTTTTCACTTCGATCTGTTTCTTTCTTCTACGAAGTAGCTCGCCGCTGCGTTAGCGTAAAATCCTCGTCTATACACGGTGTTTCCTACGATTTAAAACATGAATGAATCTTACAGAATGCAACCATTTTTACGAACATCTGACGCAACAAGCACGACAATCGTTACTGGATTTTTGACGTGGAACATCGAGTATGATTTCGAGAACGAGAATATTTTTATTTCCGCTAGAAGGTAATTTTAAGGTTAACTTAATTTCAATATAAACGACATTCATTTTTTTCGTAAGTAACCTTCAGTGACCTTATTAAAGGTCACCTTGGGAGGAATAACCTTGAACGGTAGGTAACTGTACTACAGACGTGGCCAAATTAATCACACGAGAAGAATCACGTTTCTTCCGACGAAATAGTTTCTTATTTCATAAGCATACGACTCTTCCGTAATTTCAGCCATTATTTGACACAGCAAATTAGACAGTGGTTTCTTTAAAACGCTTTAAAGAATCTACTTGAAAATTTGCTTCCGAGAAACGCATAAAATCTTCCGTGCAATATCTGTGGATTTTCTCGCGACAGTAAATAGGAGAAAGTCTTGTGTTCCCATGTACAAATTTAAATCAGGTCGTACGAAAGATTCATCTGGTGTTAAGTTCCCTCCGTAGTTGTCACGTAAATTTAGTAGCGATACATCCGTTTTGGGGCACGTCGAACGACGCGTTCCTTCCTAGAATTCCAAGCAGCTCGCGCGAGAAGAAGAGGTTAGGATTATTTACGATGGTCGTGCGATCGCTCGCGGGTGTACGTTTCCCACTTTCTCCGCGGTTTTCTGCACGAGCATTTGCGATCCTTGCTCGTCTCCTCGTTCCTAAACAATTTGATAACGCGCTGGGAAATGGAGCGACAGCACGACGGCTGTTAAATTATCGACGTCGAGCGGAAAGTTTCTGCGTTTTCCACGAGACGATATCGGCATATGTACATCGACGCCATATTTGTCAGCTGCACCCGCCGTTGTCGATGGATCTTTTTATTTCTTTCGATGCAATTAATTAGTCGCGTTACTCATTTTATTCGCGACACAATGTGTTGCGTGAAACGCCAAGTAGGACGTTTATCGTCGCCCGCGAGTGAAAGAAAGAAGAAAGTGTAAAGATTGTCGCGGTTCGATACGTTTTGGCACTTTTGGAAAATTATCTTCGCCATCGACAGGGTTAATACTTAATACCATCGGTGAAATTGGGAATTTACATTTTATTCGAAACAACAATTAGAAATAGTTGAAACAATATTTCTGTCTTTTATTTCCTCGTTATTGTAGATGTTTTGCAGAAAGAAATTTTTTTTATTAAACGAACTGCACCCGTAACGTTATTCGCTTTTAGTCGAAGAATTATTTATTTTCAAGGCTCGTAATCGACCGATACGGATCTGTTATTAATTGCAATCCGCTCACTCTGGTTTCTAAATTTCTAATCGCGTTAAGGAGATTTACGCCACGCATAGATTTCCATGCATCAAACCATTTGTCCATCGTATCTCGAACGTGAATGTTTACGTTGTTAACGACCTCCTATAAACAGTCCTGATCATCAACTTTCTATAGTACGCGTTAAAAAATATCCGGGATGAATCTAAAAGATTTAATTACTCGCGAAGCCCATCGGTAATCGTAAATGGAATCTAGGCAGGCTCGATTTTATTCAGAAGCAAGGTTTATCATGGAATCTTCAGTTGTTAACGAGAAACTGAAAGTATTCTCGCGAATCTTTTTTTTTATCGACTATTGCGCAATGGCTGGCGCAGTGAAAAGTCGAACAGTCACTTTCATAGTTCCACAAACGCTTCTATTGGCACGTAATTAGCTATTTTTAATTCTCATTTAATAAAAAATATTCATTGCGTCGATCTTATTCGATCTAATCTCATTTTAGTCACAAGCTTCATACAGGTTGTTATGAATTTTTTTTCTCGATAGTGCGTAGGATTTCGGGGCTATGTGTATTGACCGAAAATGTTTGTAATTGACCCCTGCAAACAAAAATAATTTTTTCAGAACGATTTGAAATTTTTTTTTCCGTCAAAAACTTTCATACTTTCTCGAATTTTTTACTCGATAGTGCATAGGATTTCGAAGGTATGTCTATTCACCAAAAATGATTGTAATTGACCTCTGAAACTAGAAATAATTTTTTTAGAACGATTTGAAATTGTTCAATTTCGTTAAAAAATTTCATACCTTTTCGAATTTTTTTTTAGAAAGTGGGTAGGATTTCGAGGGTATGTCTAATCACCAAAAATGATTATAATTGACTCCTCAAACTAAAAATAATTTTTTTAGAACGATTTGAAACTTTTCAATTTCGTTAAAAAATTGCATACCTTTTCGAATTTTTTTCTCGATAGTGCGTAGGATTTCGATGGTATGTCTAATCACCAAAAATGATTATAATTGACTCCTCAAACTAAAAATAATTTTTTTAGAACGATTTGAAACTTTTCAATTTCGTTAAAAAATTTCATACCTTTTCGAATTTTTTTCTCGATAGTGCGTAGGATTTCGAGGATATATCTATTCACCAAAAATGATTGTAATTGATCCCTCAAACTAAAAATAATTTTTCCAGAACGATTTGAAATTTTTTAATTTAATTGTTAATAACTTTTTAACGAAGCCTCAGTCAAGAAGGCCTTTTCTTATTTTGGCCTCTAGAATCTCCCTTTAAAATTTTTCCCAGGGTTGGTCGAACACCCGGTATATTTGTAACGTAACATAACCTATAAAGCTTCGTAACATAACCTATAAAAGAGGTAAACGCGTCTGTTGAAAAATTTAAGAGACCGTAAGCTTTATTTGTTGTCCGTGGACGCGCACGATCGTCATAAGTATTATTTACGTGACAACGATGCCAATGAGGGGGGCACGCAAATTTTCGTGTACAGGATGATTAACGACCGTCGAAGTCAAGTAAAAAGTCTACCGATTGCACAACAAACACGACCACGAGGTACCGTCTTAAAAGCGCGATGCGTATTGTAGCCTACGTACGTGCAGATTTTTATCAAATATTTCGTTAACACGAGCCGCTGAGGCGAACACGTTTCTGAAAAATGACGATACCATCGAGAAAGGGAACGAAACAAATATACTCGTCTCGCGATAGACTCGAGAATAATTTATTTCGTATTATTATTAATCTTTAGGCGCGTTGTTTCAATTAACGATAGTTTAATTTAATAACGCACGCCTGCTGGCGTTTATCTCTAACTCGACGCCGAAGTCTACAGCGAAATAGTCGTGTTCACAGGTGCCACTATCTTTGTGTTTGATACTCCTGTTACGTGGGTAGCTCGGCATACACGCATGGTGACGCAAACGTCCCGTACGCGTTGATAATTCTAATAGCACCAAATAATAAACACAAGAGGGTTATCGAATTTCACCGGGAAACCCGATATTTTAACAGCCACGAAGCGATATAAAATTCGAAAGTTAAATAACAACAATAACTGGAAACGGTAAAGTTCAGCCTCGATGTTTGTCGTATAAAAGAATGTGAAAAAATTCAGAGACACTCCCAATACCGAGACAGGTATCGTGGAATTTTTTCCGATTTTTCGATCGAAAAACCGGGCTATGAAAAAATGAAATCCGTCCCGATTCGATTGCAAGAGTAGAGGCGCAGCGGCGTATAATGGTACGCGCTGCTGCATTGTAAGTAAATGGTGTAACGCAAGAAACGTGCTCTCTAATTGTAAATGTGTCCAGGGACGCCACAGGAGACGATGCATCGTAAGCGGGTTTCCGAGTCGGTCGACGAATTCATTGTGAGGGAAGATAAAAAAATGATCACGGATGAATGCGCCGCGAGAGCGACCGCGAACGCACACAGTCGCGCGGGAATTTGCATAACATTCGGCGCGACGTAGAAAACCGTCGAGCTACACCGTCGCAAGAGACACGCACGCGCGAGGCTACTCAATTACAAACGCCTCTCAATGGGTTAACGACGCGAAATTTCGAAACCGCTCTCGACCGGTTGCTCACGCATCAAACGTACATCGATAAACAAAAGGACTTTCAACGCTTCCTTCTATCATTTCTCTCGATCTCGTTCACTGTCACGCACACACTAACCCTTTCACCATCAAACGGACACTCCGTAATGCGAACTTCCTCCTCGATCAGCGTCCGCTTCTACGGCGTTCGACGCCCAAACGATTATTTCGACGTTAGGATCGATGTTATAATATTTTTCATAGGACAGGAAATGGTCGAAGCACAGTTACTCGGTTTAATGTTCCGGACGTGGACTCTGTTTGTTTGTTTGAAATAGTTTTATCGAGATTTGGTAATCTGTTAGTTAGTTAGTTTAATGGTACCCAGTTATTACTTTCTCTCGTACTCGTGTGGAAAGAAATCTTATTTCTCTTAGCCATTTTGTTTTTATCAAATGTTGTTTATTACACACTTGTGTATTACTTTTATTTACGGAAGCAGGTTTTTTTTTGCTTTTTAAATATTAATAAGACACACGTGTTTTTCTCCAACCTAACTACTACGCGTAACTCCGTAGTCTTCTCTTTTCCAAGATTTTAATAATGCTAATTATGGGGACTTGGGGGCTTTTTCAATTCTAATTAATGGGCAAAGTAATACCTAATTACAGAACAATATAAACGGTACATAAAAATCGCCAATTTTACGTGTTTTTTCCCCGGAGCGGTCACCCATCCTCGAGCTGGTCGCACCCAACCGCGCTTCACTTCGGTAATCGAACGAAATCCAACGTTTCCAACGTACCACAACCATCGACAAGTTCTATCTTAATTTATTCATATGTAAACAAGCGTTTTTCAGTAAATTGAATCACCATCACGGTGAATACGAGTGTACCGTACGTAATCTAGTTTTAGAAATGCGTAAAAATAATTACTTTTTTAACCAACAAATAAATAAATTTTCTCCCGAGACCCAAACATCCAACGCGTTGAATGTATCATCTAATCCGTTGATTTCATGTCATAGGTGTAAACAGCGCGCTAACTTCGCCAAAGACGACAGACACGTTTGTAATTAGGCTGCATCCTGGAATTGTCTCCTTCGAGGTGTCTTATTTCAAAGGACGCGAGACAAGGGACACGTGTCCCCAGTCTCGATCCAGACACCGAACGAGTAACACGTGAATACATTTATTATCGTTAACCTCTGGCACAGAAAGGATTTACGTTTTTAACACTTCGACTGCCACGCCACCCATAGGTGACAGGATTCACCACCATAGAACTAGAAAAATTCATTCTCAAGTCGAGATGTAGAGGTTACAAACAAATTTTAGGTTATGTAGGTTACGATGGTATAAAATCGAAACTTTGGGCTTGCAGAGTATCGTATGGGTTTGGTGTGGCAGTGAACGTGTTAAAATAGTTTGTTTTTGGGCCCGAAGGGAGCGTACGCGGGATCCACGGAACGCGAACGGTTGGAACGGCGATGGAACCGAGAGAAAAAGCGTTGCAAAACTTGCGTTCGAGCGTCGATCGCGTACGAGCGGTACTCACGTATACGCGTATACACGTTTTCCGTTGTGTCGTCGAACGGGGCGCAAACAGAGGCAGGGCTCCGATGTGTGCGCGGTGTTTAGAAAGTCCGACAACGAGAACACGGTGAGGTACACCTTGGTACCAGAAGACATACCCATCGGAAAGGTGTACCAGAAGGTTCACCAGCTTCATCGTCGGTGGGGGTAACCCTAAGCTAGCGGTGTCAGACGGTGCCGGGCGCTCACTGCTCGTCGATTCGCCGAGCGATCGACATCGAGTGTTCCCCCGTCGATCGAGACAGAGAGAGAGAGGATTTTTCGTCCACGGAGGATCACCTCGTACGGAAGAGAAATATTTAAAAAGAAGTAAATAACAGAGAAGAACGAGACGCAGCGATCCGGCTCCTCTCCCTACCCGGTGATTCCAGTCAGTGGTGAAAAAGAAGCTTCAGGAGAAGAATGGAGAAGGATCAGCCGGATTCCTTGGCGACCGTGGCCGTCGTCTCGGAGAAGATGGCACAGCCTCACAGCAATTACGCGCCCAGCGAGGTTTACTCCTCCGCCGAGCCACCTCCGGTAAGCGTTTCACACCTTGTTCGTCCAACTACCGTTAGAACGGATATCGAGGAATATTTATTTTCCGGGGTGGAACACAAATTAACACTTTATCGACGCCTAACCGATTGATCGACTTGTGAGAATCCTATGGTTATCGACCGCTAGTCGATTAATCGACTTTTGGGCGGTCCACGATTATCGACCGGTTTCTGTAATCTTAAGCGGTAGATGTAGTGTTAAAGTGTCGGTTTTAGTAATATGGAAATTCTGAAGGAACGCGACAGGTGTCACCGTCGCATCCCATAGCGTCGAACAGTGCAACCCTAACCGTAATTGCATTATTAATTTCCGTATGAATCCAAGTACAATTCGATCCGCCATGTTGATTTCGTAAATTTCTAGTTTTGTCGCGAACGCTATTTGTTTGCTTATCGCTTCTGTCGTGTCTATATTAACGACTACAGTGCACGTATCTTTTTACATAAAAGTAGAAAATATCCTTTCGTTTCACGAACAATTTGTTTATTTCTCAAATAGGATCTAACAAATATGTTAAATTTTAGTTCTCTCCGAGAAATAAGCGATCGATTTGTTAAGTTGTTAGGAATCGTTGCCCGTTTCCGTTCCAACTTCCGAAATCCTCCGAAAGAGGACCATCTGGCCACGGGACGCGCACTGCGCGGATCCGCAGTTTCGAAAGCGATTCCACGGGTCCTCCTCGTTTACTGAATATTCAATTAAACTTTCCAACTCCCACGCAGCACTGTTTTGTTGTTTTCTTGGAAACCAGTGCACCGGCAGAATTTACAGTTTGAAAAGAATTCGACACGGTTCGCGATTCCGGAACATGGAATTGTTTGTGCATCGATAACGATCGCGCGGTGTCGCCACGGAGACCATTAACGATTAACCGTGGCAACTCGTGACAGTTTTTTTAGTTTTTTTTTTCACGCCACTTTCGAGGGACGCGGACAACGTCGAAATCGGTGAAAATCTAAATTTGTACCGAACGTGCGTCCCCGGTAATCGTCGTGAAAGTTCCAAAGAAGAAATCGTCAGTTTCTATCGGGTCACCCCGTAAGTAACGTCGTTATCTCGCGTTGAACCAACACTCGTATTTTTATAGAAATTTCTTCGAACCTCTGAGATTGGCTAGGTAAACTATACTTTGTTTTTGGACGATTCTAGATTTATTTTCTTTTTTAATCTCCATTAATGAACGATCGTGACACTCCATATATGATCAAAAACGTAGATACAATGGACAATCTTCGTCTTTCTTCGGTGCATGGAACAAATCGTTATATAATGTCGTCGTTCTTGTTTCATAAACTGTATCCCGATCTTCGGACGAGATTTCGCGGTTGATACATTTATCTTTCGCGCGGACCACAGTCGACGGTATAAAACAAACCTGTTTCGAGGATCGATTTCCTCGACATGTTTCACGTTTATCGTTGTGAAATTTATGGCCAACTGGACACGGTACGTTAAATTTATGGCTAACGGTGGATGGGAACAAAGTGGATTTTACAAAGCAAGGTCAACGAATGCGGAAGCTTCCGGTCGATATTAAAAAAATATTTTCAAGGACGTCGACTCCGAGATTACGATCTCGTTTTCTATCAGCAATTTTATCATTATTTTTCTCCTTTCGTGCAATTCATATTAAACTCATCGACGATTATTAATGCATTTTCTAAGATGACCAAATCTTTAATATTTTCCACCATTCCATTCAAATTTATTTAAGCTAAAAAAAACCAAAGGAACCGTAGATTCGATATGTCTCTTTCGAATTTAAATATAAATACAGCGAAAACAAACGCGCGAAGCGTTCCGAGTCGCGCGTTAGAACGCGATTATGGTAATTGGCGGTGGTCGTTGGGTACGTTTTATGAATTGCGCAAGGTGGATCGAGATATTTCGTCGAAGGAAACGGTAGATTATTCCGGTGACAAAATTGCGTTCCCCTTTGAATCGAGAGCGACGGGTTCGTTACAAAGAGCGCGGAAAACCGTGGTAACCCGTTTCCGTGAAAGTTTCCGGACAAGTTTTTAATTGTACGAGATATGCTATACCGTGCATTCGTTGATTTGCTCGATCGATCGAAACGGGGAAAGAAGTCGTTTTACATCTCGCGATTTCCGCGAGCGAGATTCCTCGCGATCGTCGAACGTGTTTTCAATATGGCGGAGGAGGGGTATCTACAAATCGATGCAACTGATTAAACGTGCAATTTTCAACTCAAAAGTCGACGAAAACAATTTTTTCTCGGAGCTAATATATTTATTAAATTCTGCCCCTTTGGTGATTTTTTTTAATCCAAAAAACTTGAATTTTTAGCCAAACTATTGATGCTACGGCAAAAATTTATTGAGCTTTTGTGTTCCTCGCGTCGAGACCTGAAATTTAAAAAAAAATGAATTCGATTTGACAACTTCGAAATTTTAAACTTTGAAGTCATTTTTTTCGAAAATGGCTGGCATTAAAGGTCTAGTATTTTACAGATTACATTTGGACATCAGCCCCTACAACTCTGCCAAATTTGGTTCAAATCCCAAGTTGACAGGTCATGACCTCCCCTTGTTAGAATCTCGTCCGATATTTAATTGCATCGAACTATATATATAGATATAAATCATGTTAAAAATTTTAAATTCGATTTAAATAGAAATATTTGATTATTTTTGTATAAATAAAGTTTGATACGATATAATTGAATATGGAATTTTGTAAATGCACTATGCTTGAAAATACAGTTCCGTCGGTAAGTCCACGGGAGAAATGAATCGTACTTAGCGTACGTAAATTACAGTACTCGTAATTCGTATTTACCGTACAAGTCCGTTGTTCGTACCGCGCATTCGTTTCGAGTAAACATAAATGCACTGTCATTCGCGTGTAATTTCTCAACGAGGGTTCGAGAAAACGGTTAATTTCCGCGATGGGCGGGAGAATTTCGTGGGAAAACTTTCTTGGATTCCTCCGTCCATACTGCAAACTAACAGTAAAAATATTTATTGCAAATTAAATAATAATTTATGATCATTTTTTTTACCCCCCTCCATTCGTTTATTTGAATAAAAAACTTTCTACGCCTACATTCGAAATGGCCTTTTGTCTCGTCGTTTCGAAATACGAGTTTCACAATTTAAACGATTTTACAAAATTTTTTAATTCGTCCTTGAATCGTCAGGAAGACGAGCTCGGTCATTTTTTAAACTTTTTTTTTTATTTAAAATGATGAAAGAACCAGAAATCGGTTTCCAAATTTCTGGTAAAACCAGTTCCCCCGGTTAATTTTTTCGATCGGCGGAACGTTTCTTTTTCTCGTGGCTTATATAATTATTTGAAAGCACGGGAGTGACTCCGGCTCGTAGCGCATTGTTTTCGTCGTGAAACTATCGAGTACCAACATTGTACGACTGACTGATTTCACCCGGAGCGATTTAAACCGCGTTTCTTTTTCAATCGAAGCATGACTGGAATTTCATTATTCGTACAGAACCGTGAATTCACGTGCGTTTTACATTTCCACATCACGTGTCAGCACCGTTGCAACGATCACCGTTTCCGGGAAGTTGGCGTTTAATTTTCATAGAGTGTCCCTTCTCTGTTTATTTGCCTATTAAAATTTCTCGATGGAAAGTATCTCAACGGAGACGATAATTTATTTATCGATCTAAATATTATTTATTCAAAGGCTTTTTTCTTGAGCTGTATTTGCTCGATATAGTTGCACATGGCACGTGGTATAGTTGGATAAAAAATTGCAGCGAAAAGACTAGTTTAAAACAACGTAATCTTAGCTGGACATATCGAGCGTATCTAGAGACTTTAATGCTTGGTTTGTGCGTAACCGACTGGGCATAAAAAGTTGCGAGCACAGGGGGCGTAGATATCAGTAATCATTTCGTCATGTGACCATCCTGCTATTATTTCAATAACAAGTAATTGACAACTTGAATTTCCTGCAATATTATGTAACACGACGATTTTTCATTACGCGTATATTCGTTATTTAGTTTAGCACTATTACCCAACGCTGTCGCAACTCTGTTTCTTTTATTCTCCTCTAAAAGTTCCTTCTCGAAAACATCGTTGTTCGCTAATAGAATATTCAAAAACGATTGTTTTTTTTCTCTTCGCGACCATGTTCCCAAGTTTGCACTTAAATCAGCGTCTGAAGACGCCTTACGTAAGTCGACGCTATCTTTAGCATTCGATTCGCGGAAGAGCGCCGTTCTTCCGCGAATCTAATTAGTCGTTGGGGGCCATTTTGTGGACCAGAGGACGAATATTACATCTTCAAACGTAATACGCGTACGATAATTCGTTGGTGTTAATTCTCTACCATCCTCCTTTGTAGATTCGTTGCTTCTGCAAACTCGTGTTTACGTCGTGTGAAATAATTACTGGAATTGCATTCTAAATTTCGTGACGGTTGCGTTTGGATCGCGGAAGAACGACAGGCGTTTCTAACACCTACTCTTCCTGCATTTTAATTGGCCACGAAACCGAGTCCCGTACGCTCACGTTCGTCCAGTCACTCTGGTAACTTTTTCCTTGAATTCCTAGAACGTTATTAAAAAAACTTCCTCAAAAAAAAAGAGAAAGAAGAAAGAAGAAATAGTGTTAGAAACTTTGAACAGTCTTCAGTGTGGTCCCACAAAAATTACAAAACTGTAAAATTAGACCAAAATTCTAAATCATAGAAATTACAATTTGTCTAGATACTTATCTATAAATTCAAATTTATTTTTTTCGATATTTAAATTCCACACAAATTGCAAACGTAATAACTGTGCCTTGATTAGACCAAAATTCTAAATCATAGAAATCACAATTTGTCTAGATACTTATTTATAAATTCAAATTTATTTTTTTCGATATTTAAGTTCCACACGAGTTGCAAACGTAATAACTGTGCCTTGATTAGACCAAAATTGTAAATCATAGAAATTGTAATTTATCTAAATAGTTATTTGTCTATTTAAATTTCTTTCTTTCGATAT